TATTTGAAAAATAATGTGTTTTTTGAACATTAAAGCATGTCAACATATTCTGTTACACCAAATACACAAAATAATGATCTTTAAAAAAGCATCATATGACCCCTTTAAGACTAGCAATGTGCGCTAGCAAAATTAATATTGTAAATTTTGATTTCATGCATACTTTAATGACGCACAACTTAAAGACTGTTAAAGTTGATTTTGGCTATGTTATGTTGAAGAATTTAGATCTTGAGAATCAATAGATTTTGTGTGTGAGTGTGTGAGATGTTATTAACATAAATGGAATTCTCATGCAGTCGCTACACACAATCTGAGTCACATGCATGTCACATCATATGCGTGACTCACTGGGTTGGCAAAGCTCTGTGGCATTCCTGAGGTTCAACTGCTGTCAAAACATAAAAGCTGTGCTACAATTCCATGAATCACCACTTCTTCTTTGAATTTGCGTGTGTGCAACTTTCTGTAAACCGAGAGGTGGATCCAGTATAGCTTTTCACATGTCTGGTGAAATGCAAGCATTTCACTGTCCAATTTAGTCAGTCATCTAAGTAGCACACGTGACGGTATAGTGTGCAACATCATGTCTTGCAGCTTATGTGTTTGTCCATCTGTAGGTGTGGTATAGACTGTGTGCTTGCATATGTGTCTGTCTCAGTCTCTCTCCTTACAGCTTAATAGTGATTCATTTCCTTCATGCCCACTCTTGAACAACGGCTGATGCTGCAAAGTACATCCAGAGTCAAGCAGGCTTTGTTCCATGGACAGGGAGACTGTGACACACAACTTACTATTCTAGTATTACTTGTTCTGATTTTTATTCCTCTTTTTGCATCTTGTTGTTGGTCTCATTAAATGCTTTCTTCCCATTTCTAGAGAGTTTTACAGCAGTCAGAGAGTGTGGACCGATGCCTTTTTAGGTTCTGGAGAAGGTACACCGGATCTAAGTGATAGTATATGGAGTTGTAGAAAGGGAGAGATGTAGTTTAAAGTCTGGTGTCACGGATCAGCGACATTCTCTCAGGTGCTCTTTGACAGTTGTTGCCATGCTAGAGGTAGGGTTGTGACTGTGAAAATCGCGCTATAAAGCGATTTAGAAATCGCGCAAGCTCAAATCGCGATGTTATGACGATTTCGATTAATCGCACAGCTCTAGTGTACAGGTATATAACAATAGACAGTTGTATGTACAGGTATATTATGTGCAAATTGAAATGTAGACTGAGTATGTGTGTTAGATAAATAAGTGTATGAGTGAATAAATGGTGTGTGTTCCACAGTTATTGTCAAGTGTTCATGAGATGGAT